TAAACCCTAAATCCCTAAACCCTGACGGCCTTCCGATGCCAGGGGGGAGAATGGCAGGGCCAGGACTGTCACGAGGCTCCGCAAGGCCTTCCCAAGGCTTTAGGCTTTTTCGGGTTTAAGGCTTTAGGCCTTTTAGGGTTTAAGGGTTTGCGGCTTAGGGTTTAAGGGTTTGGGGCTTAGGGTTTAAGGGTTTAGGCCTTTTAGGGTTTAAGGGTTTGGGGCTTAGGGTTAAGGGTTTGGGGATTAGGGTTTAAGGGTTTGGGGTTTGGGGCTTCAGGGTTTGGGGCTTAGGGTTTAAGGGTTTGGGATTTAGGGTTTAAGGGGTTGGGGGTCGGGGTTTAAGGATCTGGGCTTCAGGCTTTAGGATTAAGGGTTTAGGGCTTAGGGTTCAGGGTTTAGGGCTTGATAACCGGGCTGTAGGTATTGCATACAGTGGTCTTCAAGCCGCCAAAATTGATGCGGAGCTAAGATACCAATTCCGGTTGGCCTGCAAAAAGCGGGGCTTGTGGGTATTATATTCCATCTGCTCTCTAATGTTTAGGTACATCAGATATTACACGTCATATTCTAGAACTTATCTACTAGATACTGCACATCACATAATCTATACTACATATGTTGATCAGTAGCGTGGAACTCTCGGGCTTGCGGCCTGGACTTGCTGCTGCCGAAACGCAGCTTGCTCGCTGTCAGTGGCCTCGTCAAATCCCGGCGAAGAGAGTCACGTGTAGCAGGAACGAGTCATCATTTCCCAGGAAAAAGAGTCACGTGTAGTACAGAAGAAAAGAGTTATAATTCACCAAAAAGAGCCACGTGTGAAAGAACGAGTTGGCTTTAGGGTTTAAGGTTTACTTCTAAGCACAGGAAGAAGAAGCATCCTAAATTGAGGCTAAACGCGCTTCAGACGGCTCTTTAAAAAGGCTACAGCATGCCATTGGGTTTAGGGTTTAGGGTTAGGCTTCAGGTGCGCCGCGTAGGATGGCAAGCTGCGCTCTGCTTGAAAACCCTTAGTCGAGAAGTGGGGGCAAATCTGAGGGTCGCTTTTGGCCTCATGCAGGGGCCTTAGAAATTCGAATGGGTTTTTTGCCAAATTCTGCTATATATCTGCGTTTGTTTTAAGAGATTTTGGCCATATTATGCTATATATCTGCGTTTGTTTGAAGGGGTTTTGGCCATATTATGCTATATATCTGCGTTTGTTTTAAGGGGTTTTGGCCATATTACGCTATGTATCTGCGTTTGTGTTAAGCTTCTTATGTTACGGGAAGCGAAATTCGTGGCTGAGCTTGATGAAGCGAGAACTGAGGGGCTAGAGATGTTTTGGTGGCTGCCTGGACTTGCTGCCGAATTGCAGTTCGGTCGCTGCCAGTGGCCTCATGAATGGCTTGGGGTGTAGGGCCGTAGAGGGTTTAGGGTTGAGGCTCCAAGTAGAACGAGCGAGTTGCAAGCACAGCAAAGCGAAGCATCCAAAGAACCCACCAGAGAAGAATCGGCAAAGTAGCGCTAAGAAGTCTAGGAAAGCATCGGATGCCACGAAGAATGGTGCAAGCTAATTTCCAAGTATTAGGCACAGTACACACGCACACACCAACAACGCTCAAGCGCACACAGATACTGAGCATGTGCAGCCACATGCAACCTTTTGTTTTTGGGAGACATACGGGCTAAGGTATAAGGCAGCAGACAAAGCATACTCAAAAGAACAGTCACTCACAAGTCATAGGTGCACAGGCGAAGCAGCAGAGCAAGTGCGGACTCAGCATGACAAAAAATGTAACTACACCCTGAAACCTAAATTCCCTGAGCCCGAAGCCCAAATCCCCTAAACCCCTAAACCCTAAACCCTAACTTTAAACCAAACGGCCGCATCGTAGACCTCCTCTTCTTCCTCTCCGAGCTCGTCCAGGTTTGGAAACTCGAACTGTGGATCCGCAATGAGCGTCAGGACCTCGGGTGATCTTGGGTTTTTACGGATTTAGGGTTTAGGGTTTAGGGCTTTACGGATTTAGGGTTTAGGGTTTATAGGGTTTAGGGTTTAGGGTTTTACGGATTTAGGGTTTTTGGTGAAAGTGTTGCTGTAAGGGTTACTGGAAGGGTTCTGCAAGGCTGTTGGTGCTCAGGGTTTAGGGTCATCTTGCTCAAGAGGCTTAATGACTTAAAGGGTTTCGGGTTTTGTGTTTAGGGTTTAGGGGTTTAGAGGTTTAGGGTTTAGGGTTTAGCGTCACTAAGGTCACGACCTCCAATGTCCGTTTCGATGGTGCCAAGGCCTGCGTCAAAGTCCGGCGGAAGACATAGTCATTCAGAATGCCCCGGAAAAGGACCTTAGTGGCCAAGTTCGCAAGCCAGCTTTGTTGCAAGTTGTACCATCCTCAGAAACCTAAAAGTTACTTGCTCCCCTAAACCCTACCGAGCCACGACGACCAGGTAGTAGGCAAAAGGCTTCCAGCTTGACATCTGACGGCGGCCATAGACCACAGCACACTCCACCCGCAGATGGGCCTTTAGGGCTTTGAGTTTTAGTTCAGAATTTAAGCGTTTGGGATTCAGGGCTTAGGGGATCAGGCTTTAGGGTTTAGGGCTTAAGGGCGTTGGGTTAAGGCTTTATGCCCCCAAACGCGGCAGCCTGAACCGTCTGAGTATGCCTGCACTTCCGCGTCACCTCCAGTTCTAAATTCCTGACCCATGCCTGAAACTCCATACGTTTTAGGGCTTTAGGGCTTTAGGTTTTAGGGTTTAGGGTTTAGGATATGCATCTATACAGCTTACGAACCCTATACGCCCTAAACCCTAAACCCTAAACCCTAAACCCTAAACCCTAAACCCTAAACCCTAAACCCTAAACCCTAAACCCTGAAACCCTGAAACCCTAACGATGCCTGTAGCATGAGCTGCAGCACCTCACAGGAAGACAAAATCTCTGGATCGCTGACGGAGCCTCGGTGCCAACTTCAAAACCGACCCCGCCTGTAGCCGAAAAGACCTACCCCTTTTTAGGGTTCCTTATCTATGGTTTCTATATATAGTGGTTGCTTACAATGGTGTCTATATATATATATATAGTTCCCTACCTGTTTAGGGTTCCTTGTTAATGATTTCTATATATAGTTCCCCAAAACAAGTAGGTCTTTTCGGCCACAGGTAAACCTTGAACTCGTAACCCGCTTGAGGCTGTCGGTTCCGGGCCCGCAGACTCCAAAAACCGCGTGAATGAGGAATCGCAGTAGCTTAGGGGTGTAGGGGTTCAGGTTTTGGGTTCAGGGGCTCGGGGTACCCCAAGAAATTCATTTCGAGTGCGGAACCTTGCCACAGGGTTTAGGGTTTAGGGTTTAGGGTCCATCTGATATGGGTATTGGACTCCATGGGGCTTTGAGTGTAGTCTGTCAGGGTTCGGACCCTGGGATCAGCACCTCCGGGAGACGCGGTGTCGTGCCGGATTCTGAAAAGGCGAAGCTAGAGGAGCTATGGTCTTGAGTCTTTAGGGTTTAGGGTTTTGGGGTCTTGACAAAACTCGTTTTTCACAAGAACTTCAGCTGCGAGTGGTCGCGAGACCACCAGCGTCTGCTTTAGATCTTCTTCGAACCCAAGGTCTATGCCCATTCTCTTTCGTCGTAGGAGCTCATGATGAGAATCCGGGCCCTTGCCTGTGCGAGACTGCTGCGCGAAGATGCTTGCAGCATATATGCTGTCCTGCTGCCAGTGGACACTCGATACACGCGCATGGAATGCAAGACTAGTTGCTTGGAGCAGTGTTGGGGGGGGGCTTGGAGATCACATGACTTTATTGGCGAGCTGGTTGGGTGCTGACTGCCCGCACGGCCACGGCATAAAGAAGAAACGGTACAGCAACTGTCATGGAAAAGGTCACTGTCACAGCAACTGTAGTAGCAGTAGCAGTAGCAGTAGTGGCAGCAGCAGCAGCGGTAACAGCAGAAGCAGTTGCAGCAATAGTGTTCGTCGTCGTCGTCGTATCAGCAGTAGTAGTAGTCGACGTCGTCGTCGTTGTAGCAGTAGTAGTAACAGCAGTAGCAGCAATAGTAGTCGTGGCAGTATTCGTCATCGTCGTCGTGGTCGTAGTACTTAGTAGTAGTAGTAGTAGTAGTAGTAGTAGTAGTAGTAGTAGTACTAGCACGAGCACGAGCACTAGCACTAGCACTGGCACTAGTACTAGTACTTGTACCAGTACTAGCAGCAGTAGTAGTAATTGTAGTAGTCGTAGTCGTCGTCGTCGTAACAGTAGCAGCAGTAGTAGTAGTAGTAGTAGTAGTAGTAGTAGTAGTAGTCGTGGTGCTGGTGGTGGTAGTGGTGGCAGCAGTAGTAGTAGTAGTAGTAGTAGTAGTAGTAGTAGTACTGGTGGTAGTAGTAGTAGTAGTAGTAGTAGTAGTAGTCGTAGTAGTAGTAGTAGTAGTGGCAGTCAGCATGCATCACACTCGTTTACTGCACATTTCATAAATGCTTCGTTTGCTTCAC